GTTCATAATCTGATAACAGAGAAAACTAATCCCGCTGATGTTTACCTTAAAAGATAGGAGAAAATTTTCAAATAAACACTATTGATTTGTATTCTATTCTCACCTTAATTTATGACTCTGGACATAAATTACTTAAATTGGGTACATTACTTATATAAGTTATGAAATTACTAATTACTGTTTTATTATACGAGATTGTTAAATATTTGCGAACCTACTCTTTCTTAATTGAAGAATTAACCCAAATAGTTGCGAACCTAATCTCTTAAACTAAAAATAGCCGGCGATGGATAATATATGTGTAACTGATGTATACTGTGTGTATAACTATGTATTAATCAATATATAATCTATGTATACCGGCTAGAAAAAGTAAACAGTAAATATGGTCGGCTATTTGTGTAACAATCCCTTCTTAATTTAACTACATTAGTGGGAAAAGATTCTTATTTTAGCATGGTGATAAAAGATTGTAATTTGGATTCGAATTTATTTTTCATTCCAGGGAAGTGAAGTTGAGTTTGAGAAGGGGGTCGAGGAGGAGGAATCCGCTATGACGATTACTCCAGCGATTAGAATTTCCGATAGGAAGCTGGTGATAAAGGACAGAACAATATTAACAAATGTACCAGACAATGTGATTACCACTTCCGGTGCAGCATCAGGTCCAGTGGAAGGTGTATTTATAGGCGCAGAATTCGATCAAGAGAATAGCCGCCACGTCGTGCCGTTAGGAAAATTACAGGATGTTAAATTCTTATCTTGTTTCAGGTTCAAATTATGGTGGATGGCTCAAAAAATGGGTGACAAAGGAAGTGAGATTCCACTTGAAACCCAATTTTTACTTGTCGAAACCAAAGATGGGTCGCACCTCGGATCCGATAACAACAACAATGACAATAATATTGTTTATGCAGTTTTCCTTCCATTAATCGAAGGTTCATTTCGAGCTGTTCTTCAGGGGAATCCTGAAGACGAGCTTGAATTGTGCCTCGAGAGCGGGGATAAGGATACTGTCAGCTCGGCATTTAATCAAGCAGTTTATGTGCATGCCGGTTGTGATCCGTTTATTGTTATTACAGAGGCGATAAGGGCGGTGAAATTACACCTCAAGACTTTCCGGCAACGGCATGAGAAGAAACTCCCCGGAATTGTTGATTACTTCGGGTGGTGTACGTGGGATGCTTTTTACCAAGAAGTTACTCAAGAAGGTGTTGAAGCCGGCCTTGAAAGTCTCACTGCCGGCGGAGTACCGCCGAAATTCGTCATCATCGATGATGGTTGGCAATCCGTCGGCACGGACGTGGAAGTTGAAAAGCCGTTAATGAGACTTACAGGATTAAAAGAAAATGAGAAGTTTCAGAAGAACAAAGATCCAACAGTGGGGATTAAAAACATTGTGAATATAGCTAAAGAAAAATACGGATTGAATTACGTGTACGTGTGGCATGCAATAACAGGTTATTGGGGCGGGGTCCGACCCGGAGTGAAGGGGATGGAGGAATACGGATCGGTTATGAAGTATCCGGAAATTACAAAAGGGGTGATGGAGAACGAACCTGGTTGGAAAACGGATGCGATTGCGGTTCAGGGTTTGGGTTTGGTTAACCCGAAAAGTGCTTATAAGTTTTATAATGAAATGCATAGTTATTTGGCATCAGCTGGGGTAGATGGATTGAAGGTGGATGTGCAGTGTATATTGGAGACCCTAGGGGGTGGTTTAGGGGGTCGGGTTGAGCTCACGAAACAGTATCATCAAGCTCTTGATGCTTCTGTTTCTAAGAACTTCCCCGATAATGGTTGCATTGCTTGCATGAGCCACAATACTGATGCACTTTACTGGTACGTTCACTTTCTATTTTGGTTAAATACTTTTGATCTTTTTATACTAATTCATAGTTAGCTCTATTTTACCATTTTTAGGTGTTTTCTGTGTACTTTGTTTCTGTCCTGTCGAAGAAAAAAAAAAAAAGAAACATTGTTGATGATTTTGATGATGTCCTGTATAAGTTATTCATTTGATGTTAGCATGATCTGTATTTCTCATGTTATCCACTAATTTTTGGTCAGTTTCTTGAAAATTTTGAGATATTTATTGATTTTGGAAAGTAAAGGCAATTTATAATATGTAAAGATCTGATTTTTGAGACTGCTCTCTGGTGGTGTTTTGATTATCTTTAATTAAGAAATAGAATATTCCTAAAGTTTTAAGTGAATTATATTACCATCTAAACTGTTTCTTGTTTGTTAAAGTTTTTCTTTTCGTTAGAATATTCATTCAATATGATACATGACCGATGTGTCTCTTCTTGATTTCTCAATGTCAATCATATATGTGACTAATGTGGTAGTTGAGCTAGAACTTATGGCATATAGTATGAAGCTATTGCAGTTGCAGATTCTATAACTTATTTTAATGTTGAAATTCTGTAACTATAGTGATATGTTGTGTTTGGATCATTGAATGAAACAGCTCAAAGCAGACAGCTGTTGTAAGAGCATCTGATGACTTCTATCCGCGAGATCCAGTCTCACATACCATTCACATTGCTTGTGTGGCATACAATAGTGTGTTCCTTGGGGAAATTATGCTGCCTGATTGGGACATGTTCCACTCCCTTCATCCAGCAGCCGAGTATCATGGCTCGGCTAGGGCGTTGAGTGGTGGACCTGTCTATGTTAGGTAAGAAATTGATATCCGACGAGTATTTATGAATCCTTGTTTTGTAATAACAAATTATGTGATGATTTGCGACAAGTTGCTAATTTTTTATATGTTCTGAATGACAGTGATGCACCTGGCAAGCACAACTTTGATGTCCTAAGGAAGCTTGTTCTCCGAGATGGTTCAATTCTTCGAGCTCGTTTGCCTGGTCGACCTACAAAGGATTCCCTTTTCTCCGATCCTTCTCGGGATGGTGTTAGGTAAGCATTTCATTTTCAAAATCAATGCTATTTATAGTAAGTTTGCTTTAGGTGGTCCTTAATTTTGAAATTTTCTACCGATAAACTTTATTTGATTAGAGTGAAAAGGAACGGTAAAGTTGTCTCCGTGTGACCTATAGGTCACGGGTTCGAGCCGTGGAAGCAGCCATTAATGTTTGTATTAGGGTAGGTTGTCTACATCACACCCCTTGGGGTGCGGCCGAACCCTGCGTGAATGCGAGATACTTTGTGCACCGGGCTGCTCTTTTAGTGAAAAGGAAACTAGTAGAATCCATTGCTTCAGACTCGGCCAAATACACATGCAAAAAAGAAAAAAGGTGTAATGGTAGTGTACTTTAACCACAAAGAGGTGCAAGTTAGACTCTTCTCTACTTCTCTTTTGAAGTTCTAACTATGGTGTTTATTTGGCTGGAAATTAGCGGTGAACTGTTTTTTAATTTGATTGCAATGGCGTTTATAGTATCTAACTATTCTAATAATGTGTTTCAGCCTCTTGAAGATATGGAACATGAACAAATACACTGGTGTGCTTGGAGTATACAACTGCCAAGGTGCAGCATGGAACACAGTTGAAAGGAAGAACACATTCCACGAAACTAATTCCGAGGCGATAACAGGCTATGTCAGGGGTCGTGATGTCCATTTCATATCTGAAGCTGCCGTAGACCCCAACTGGAGTGGAGATTGTGCTCTTTACTCCAATGTGAGCGCTGAGCTTGTTGTTCTCCCTCACAATGCAGTGATTCCCATTTCTTTGAAGGTCCTCGAGCACGAGACATACACTGTCACACCAATTAAGGTCCTGGCACCTGGCTTCAGTTTTGCACCGTTAGGGCTCATTGACATGTACAATGCTGGTGGGGCGATCGAGGGACTAAAATACGAGGTGAAGTCAGGCGCAGAATTGTCTGAACTAGAGACTGGATACCAAGGTGAAGGAAATCTTGTTGCTGAAGATAGAATCGAGAACTTGAGCACAGAAGCAGTTGCAGTAGTGTCGATGGAAGTAAAGGGTTGTGGTCGATTTGGTGCTTACTCGTCTGTCAAGCCAAGGAAGTGCACTGTGGGTGGAGATATGGTTGATTTTGCCTATGACTCAGATTCTGGTTTGTTAACTTTGAATCTTGATGATATGCCTGCAGCTGATCAGAAAGTGCATCTCATTGAAGTTGAAGTATAGATATTTAAAAGGCATTATTTTGGGGACATAGATGCTTCTGGGATTAAAGCAAGTGAAACCTACTACATTATTTTGGCTCTTCACATCCCTCGGGTTTGCGAATTGCGAGTGAGATTGCACTGGTTGGGACTGGTTAGATTTGTATAAACTTCCCGGCCTAGATTATGATCTCTATGCTTTGTCCCCACTGATTTGTATTACCATTGAATACTTAGCTCCATTTACCTTTTCATTGAAAGAAGGCATGGCAAAAGCTGGTGAGAGAAGGTAGGATAAATTTATGTAGTTCTACTTTTGATGGAATATTCATGTCCTAAAATAACGCGATGATTGTATTTGATAGTGTGTTGATTCTTTCCAACTTTTTTGCTAATCTGAAGCAGAAAGAAAGATGTTAAACGTAGATAATTAATGGCCATCTCTTCATCAAAAAAGATAATTAATGGTGATCTTGCCACATATCACATAACTAGTAGGGGTAGCCCGAGCTTTGCCCGGGCCCAACGTGAACAACGTTATGCTTTTTTGTTCTACAATATGTTACCTTGTTATTCTAAGCGTAACATGCAGCGAATAATTATCTTCATTTTAAGCCTTGACAGCAAATTTTTATCTTTGAGAACAATTGTCTTCGTGTTCTTGAGCCGAGAGTCTACCGGAAACAACCCTCTACCTTCATAAGGTAGGGGTAAAGTCTGCATACACACCACCCTCTCCGGACCCCACTTGTGTGATTTCGCTGAGTTTGTTGGTGTTGTTGTTGTAACAGTTGTCTTACTGCTAAGCTAAGCTTGGATATATTGTTGTATAAGTATGCAGCTATTGTTTCACAATTAGAGCTACGATTAGAAGCTTCTGAGTTTCGGAGGTATGATGGAAACATAAATGCATGCATAAAAGGAGCTACCTGCATTTACAAGAATATACAAAGACATAGTTTGCATACTTATTTACACAAAATGTGAAAGTTTGTACTGCAATGAAAAAACGCATCAAAATCTGCATAGATATTTACACAAAAATGTGAAACATTGTAATGCAGTGAACTGCAGCATCAAAATCTGAACGCAAGCATTACAACTGCTGTAGGTTATCAAAAAACATTCAGGCGACTTTTGTTGCAGTCAAAATATGATGAAGTATCTGTATGAACAACAAATTGACAGTTAGAACAAAAGAAGAGTTGGAAATATGCAGATTGGACATACATTTTATTTTGCATTGTTCCAAACTTAACCACACACTCTTTTTGCTAAAAAAGGCACAAGTTTTTTCTTCTCAGTTCAATACATTCAATACTCTATAATGAAAATGAAGAGGTAGTATGAGTGCTTCTTTACTGGAAAAAGACTTAAATTGTTCAGAAAAGTTAACTGTATTCAAATTTTTAAACATTGTTGTTCATTTTTCACGCAACAAAACTTTTATTATATATGAGCTTACTCTTTGCATCGAGGTTGTTTATCAAGTATATGTTTTGTAATTTTGTTTGTATACCCAAAAGCAATCTCTTTGCCCGACTAACTCATACGAAAGCTATTAAAGGAAAAAGTATAAGTTATCAAGTTTCAACTTCTAACCTTCAGTGTTTTTGCGGAGGACTTGGTGATTGTATGTTTGGTTTCTTGCTTGCCGTTGCATCTTTTGTTGATGGACCGCGATCTGCTTCTACAGAAGTGATTGATTCTATCTTTCTTTTACTTCCCTCGCCAATGTCGTTGATGTTGAAGATTGTGGCAAGTCGAAGACGGCCTGTTTTTTGGGTGTAAGATAAGATGACAAATATACCAGCTGCTCTATCTGGCGTCCTGAGTAGTGACTTCTGCAAATGAATTTTGAACAACTTGTACAACAGGTGCGCTCAACAGGTAACAATTGCTTATGCGGAGAAAAGTTTAGAGCACACAGAATTAGTAAAGTGAAGATTTTAAATTAATTTCCAGTAAGTTGAATCAGTATGTACACTTTCACAATGGTAGTTTCATATATTTGGTCCGCTGTTAATGAAAGCATTCTTTCAGCCAATTTCACTGACACTAGTGCTGCTACTATTCCGCTCCCTTTTGTGATTTCAACTTCAAATACACATCTACGATGTTGTTTTTGTGCGAGTTAATTTTAGATGAAATATGGTAAATAACAAAGTTTTGGCTATCAGATGTCGGTAGTGATACTATGTCAATGGAAAGAGTTGTTATTACCTTGGAATCAACATTCTCTATAGCTTGCAGTTTGATACAAAGAACTTTCGTTTTGCGCTTGATTCGTGCTAGATGTTGACACTCAGAGCATAAAAACACGAAGAAAAGTTGAAATTCACTCGGCAATGATATTTCTCCTTCAACATAAAAACTTTGTGCCTGTTGAGAAAATCATAAAAAGGTCATACTTAGTAATTACTACATACAATAACTCGCAAGGTAAAATGGTGATCCCAATATCAGCCAACCCACTGGATAGTATATCTTATGTTGAAGTTCTTCCTGTAAATGCTCTAGCTGAGGATGTTATCTAATTGAATGTAGTCATTCTGTAGTTCATTATCTTTTTCTTGTTTCATCCCAGCTGTATATTATTTTTACAGCAGCAGTAGAAGTCTAATTCTTAATACGCCTAAGCGAATCAATAAAGTACTGCAAATGATTTCCAAAAGAAATCCTTGATAATGTATTCAAATGGAAGAATGTAAATGAACAAAGCCAGCATACAAGAAAACAACATAGTATACGCCGCGGAAAAGTTCAATATATAGGAGAAAAAATATTCTGAGCATAAAGTTATTTGAAGGAACACAAGTTGATCACAGCAATCACTCCGGTGGAATAACCGAACAACAAAATCAGATATTGATTTCCCGACAGTCTGATCCTTCGTTTCAACACATGCAATCCAAAAAAATGAAACACAATAATGATAATGCACAACGGTAATCAGATATAGCAGCAAAAGAAAAGTCGATGCCAAATCTAACCAAGATCATAGACCGTATCATATGTTTTAATAAACTCACAGTGGACTGTGAGGGAATGGCTGAAATAGGGACTATTTCATCTTCAAAAGGTGCAACATTTGGTGTTGAAGGCGATTCTGACGAACTTTTCAAAGTGTATGCAATTAGCATCTGCCCGTTGTCCTTTGCCCTGTAATGTAATGGTAGATATTGTGAATTTTGTTGGTATTATAATCTGCTAATTTCACAGTGAAGTTCAGTTTTCTTCGTGCTTCTATGCTCTGAGTGTCAACATCTAGCACAACTCAAGCGCGAAAAGAAAGTTCTTTGTATCAAAGAGCAAGCTACAAAGAATGTTGATTACAAGGTAAAAATAACTGTTACCATTGATATAGTATCACCACGGACCCAAAACTTTATTATTTACCATATTTCATCTAAATTAACTCGAAAAAAAAAAAATATCGCAGATATGAATTTGAAGTTGAAATCACAGACAGAGCAGAACAGTAGCAGCAGTAGTATGAGAGAAATTGGCTGAAAGAATGCTTTCACTGACCAGATATATAAAACTACCATTGTGAAAGTGTACATTCTAACAACTCTAGGATTATTTCCAACTTACTGAAAATTAAGTTAAAATCTTCACTTTACTCACTTGTTGTGCTCTAAACTTTTTTCCCGCACCTGCTGCACAAGCTATTCAAAATTCATTTGCGAAAAGCCATTACTCTAAACACCAGATAGAGCACCTGGTACATTTGTCATCTTTATCTTACACCCAAAAACAGACCGTTTTCGACTTGCTACAATCTTCAACATCAACAACCATTGGACGAGGGAACTAAAAGAAAGATAGAATCCATCATATCTGTAGAAGCATATCGCAGTCCATTAACAAAAAATGCAACGGCAAGAAGGAAACTAAACATACAATCATCAAATCGTCCGCAGAAACACCGAAGGTTAGAAGTTGAAACTTGATAGCTTTCAACTAACTGGGAATACAAAGGTAACGATAACTTTAGGTTCAATCTTTTAAAAACTGATGTTTAAAAGGAAGTTCTGTTTTTGCAGTTTAAGAACAAGGGAAAATAAAAGCAGAAAATAGATAAAACTATGGTCACCTTCTACTTCCACGTATATGCTACACACAAGTGACACAACAGTCAGGATAATTATTTCTGTTTATCTAAACATTTTCTCAAAATTATCCAACAAAATCCAAATTTATATGCTGTGAACCCCCGTCCAGATCACTTTGTTAAGTAATATTCCGATGTTAAAGATGAGAATACACGTGTTGAGGCAGCAACCGAAAGAGTCAGCTGTAGGGATGAACATGAAATGAATAAAAATTTACAGAAATACCCTTCGATAATTTGGTAATTCCAGGGGAGCACACATGTTGACGGAGCAGTGCCTATGTTCTTATAACAAGTAGTAGCGAAGGCGGGTACAAGATTTAAACTTTATGAGTTTAGCCTTTACGATTTTTAGTATTGAACTCATTATATTTTTAAAGTTATGGGTTCAAATTTATTATTTGTTGCAATGTTAGTATATTTTACACATAAATTTATGCTGCGTATCAAAAGTTATGGATTCAGTTAAATCTGTCATGTATATGCTACATACGCCCCTGAGCAGTAGTAATAGTAATATGTTAAGAAACTAAGTTTCTTTGGTTAAAGATGACATTAACTGAATCGCCAACACTAGCTCAAACATCATAATCTTGTTTTCTAGACGATATACATAGATTATACACTTATTATATATGAT